AGCACGACTTTAAAAATGGGTATTAAAAATGAGTGGAAAAGCTTGTTCAAAATGTAATTTCCTGAGACTATATGGAAGATTCTGATTTGGTAGGTACATCTGAATTTTAAAATGGGATTCTTATATAAGCAGTCTACACAGGTCTACATAACTGCACACATGTAGATATAGTGTGAAGCCCTCAGATATTAATCTGACAGAATTACAGGGAAAAAACATAGGGAAGAAAATATAGTGGGTTATTCTAAATTAATTTATATTGCTTTATAACTGACCAAATTGCAGATTTATGTCTATCTCCTTTGAGCTTCACAATGCACTGAGTGAGTACTACAACTTTTACTTCCATTTAAAAATGAGGAAACTGAGGTTAAGGAAGGTTTAGCAATTTGGCCTAGTGTAACAAGTCACCAAGACTTGAATCTGAGGCTTTTAATTGCAAATTGCATGTTCTTTCACATAGTCTTTACTTTAAAGAAACTTCAGCACAATAAATTTAAAGTTGCTTCTGGTTTTAGTTACACAACAGAAATAAATTACTACTCACATCAGAAAGATTTGTATACAATTTAGAAAAAAATAATGATGAATTTGTTAAGGCAGTGAGTTAGAATTCCATGAATTTTGAAAAGATCATTGTCCTAAAAACAGCCTAGGAAGAAAGATTCTAAAAATTTCTGTACTCTGACTAATCAAAATGTAGTCCACATACCCATGGGCATCATCTGGGGGGTTATTAGAATTTCAGAATATTGGGCTTTACCTCCAACCTATGAATAAAAATCTGCATTTTAAACAAGAGTCCCAGGTGTAATTTCTATCATGTTAGAAGAATTTCACTTTCTTCAACTATGAAATGAGAAAGATGAGCTAATCAATCTTCAACATCACTTCCAGGCTGCTAGCACACAACAGCTGGCAAGCTACCACCTGTAGGCCAAATCTGGCTGGCAAGCTAAGAATGGTTTTCACATTTTGAAATGTTGAAAAAATTAAAATAATATTTTGTGATGTGAAAATTACAGTACATTCAAATATTAGTGCCCATAAATGAACTTTTATTGGAACACAGCCACACTCATTTTTTATAAAATGTCCTCAGGTGTTTTCATGCTATGGTGATAGAGTTGAGTAGTTGCAACAGAGACTGCATGGCCCTCCAGGCCTAAAATATATACTGTCTGACATTTTACAGAAATACTTGTTGACCCTTGCCAGAATAACAATAGTGAACAACCACAGGTGCCACTTAAGCAGTTACTATGAATCAGAAACTGTACTAAGAATATATACATGCATAGAGATACATATAGTTGTATATAGTTTGTTCAGCTACTCTTCACTCCCCTTTCATTCTATTTAAAAGATATTAAAATATCTGACTAATCTTAATTTTTCAAAATGTTCTTCCTTTTATGAAGGCAGATGTAATCATGGAATGATTTTCATGATGACTGGAGACGTGTCCTCCAAAAGATATATATCTGAATCTCTAGGGAAGAAGGGTGGAGCATGGGTAATTTGAATAAAGCATACTCATATGAAATCAATTACTAAAAATTTCATTTTCAGTGGGAATTAGAGGAAAATGACAGAATATATAAAAGTTAGCATGGGTAAAGAATGATTTTGAGAATCACTGAAATCTTTAATTCCTTATTTTCTATATACTGTTATTTATATCTAAGAAGTCTGCTACATTTTTTAGTCAACAGAGACAAACATATTTAGTAATTACATCTGAATTTTGCAACTGTAAATTTAAGCAAATGACTAATAATCAAAACAATAATTTCAGAAAGTCTGCCACATAATTTTAGAGTATAAACTATAATTAAAATGATATAAACTGTGGTATGGCACAAAGGTTAGGGACTTCAAATTTATCTGACTTTTTCAAATTAAGGTCTTACTGTTATACATTATACAAATACAAAATCCCTATCAAGAAACTTCCAATGAGTATAATAAAAATGATAAACTGTGTATCAGTACCATTTAATTTTGTATTTGCATATAAAACTCAAACCCTCCTAGAATTTATGAAAAAAACATTAATTTGAACTTCTAGGTCATATCTGAAAATGATATTTCAAGTATGCATTCAAGAATGTTTTAAAAAATAAATTTAAAACAAAGCAAATTATCTGTTTTGCAAGATCACTACAAAAAACTACTCATTGTTACTTTAAATTTCTTATTATAATGTAGAACAAGTAGTTTGCTTTATTACCACAAAGTGGTAGGTGATATTTCTAAAACTAGTAAACTTTATTACCACAAACCAGTAAAGCAGGAGAATAAAGTTCTACTTTATTACCATAAATCAGTTTTGGTTTTTGTTAGTTTTCAGCTAACAGGACAAAAAAATTTGTTTGCTTTGTAATTGACAGTTTACCTATGTAAACATTTTCCTCAAAAGTAGGGTTATTTGAACAAATGAAATTGAATCAAGATTTAATTGTCATGATTTTCAAATACTGAATTGATTTCTCTATTACTGAATTATTGTAACTTTCTCTTGAATACGTCTCTTGTTTTCTATTTACATCTTCTTGTCAAAAGTTTTCTAGTTACCAATTATCTGGAAAGTAATTAAAAATACAGAAAATTAAATTTACCAAACACACACATGTTTATATGTACATAAACTTTTTTCATAATAATCTGTCTAATATAATTAGTATACATAATCAAAAAGCACATTTTTTTCATATCATGATAGCATTCTTTATCCCAGAATCAGAAGACCATACTGATTATTTTATACACAAATTTTTATGATAAATCAAGTTATTAAGTTCTTACCAGATCTTGTCCAGCACATCAGAGAAAAATGTATACTCTCATTTGGAATCTGATAAAAGTAAGACAAGCACTCAGATTCACCTAAAGAGAAAAATTTCTCTTTGGAAAGACTGGCAGTCTGGTAGGTTTTAATGAAAAAGGTCCCTGACCTTTTGCTCCTCCCTGTTTGTTGCAAAGGTGAAGTGGTTTGTTTTCTTCCATTTAGCCTGTGGTTTTGAAAAGGATTTTTAAGTCAAAGACATTCAGCTACACAAGTTGAATTTAAGGAAAGAAAAAGTTAACTATGGCTTTCTTTATTCCTCTCAACTACAGGGTTTCAGAAGTAGTCAGGAAGAATGTTTGTTGAAAGCCTAGAGCAAATGTAATGTTAGAGAGTGCTAGAAATGAAAAAAGTCAGAAAAAGTTGTGGTTTATGTTCATTTTGATTACAAACTAAGTTTTCTTTATGCACCATAAGACCAATAATGAAATCCATATCCATCAATCTGTTAAATGTAAAATATGGCCTTTTCATGTTTAGGTCATTTTGCAACCCAAACTCAATGGCTATTTAAAAATTTTAAATACTAGTCTGTCTCTGAAGATGTATAATTTGAAAATGAAAAATAGTTTTGTTTTAATATAGCAAACATTTTAAAGTTATTACAAGAGTTTTTTCCCCATGTTTACATATTTTTTCTCTTATTTTCTTCCAGCAATGGACTTCAGTAGGCCAGGAAAATAGGGAGTTGTTCTAAGTACCTGCATTATAAGTTCAAAAATTAAAAATTAAAGTTGCTTTCTGGAAATTCAAGTCTCTGCAAATTTCCAAAGATACTGTAAGAAGACAACTGTTTAATTTTCTTCAACAATCAACAGTTACTAGTCAGAGATCTGGGAACTCAGAAATAAAATGACTGTGACTCATTTAAAAATCATGAAAATGTAACTGCTGATGAAACCTCATCATTATCTTGAAAGGTTTGATCTCTGGGGATTTTATGAGAGACTGCATTTTAATAAGGGTGCCCCCATCATAATTTGACTGGAGCCCAGCAAATAACCTAGGTACTTCCACATCATTTAGCTGTAGCAACTGCGCTTCTCTAACAAAGATATAAATATACTGTGTCATTTCAGAATGTGCGAAGAAAGATCATGTAATTGTCATGCAAGTTAGAAGAGATTCTTCTTAATAAGTTCATACGCAAAAGATATCTTTCCTATTTAACATATAATTTTTCTTTTGCTTTGTGCTTTTGATGTGACACTAACTGTAACATGAATCCTGCACATTATTTTCTTTACTGCTCTACAGAGCTCATGTTGAAAATATGAAAATATCACCTTGTCATTTAAGACATAGCAATACATAGCAGTGTTTCAAAATACAAAATTATTTTACTTTCATATTTTTTACTTGCTATCAATAGTGAGAAAGCTGGGATTATTAATGTCCCATTGCATTAAACAGCAAAGTACTGAGGAATGATTAAATATATAAAATGCCTACAGTTTAATAAGAGAATATATTATTTACACACTAAGTCCACCTTAGATGTTAAAAATAATTTTAACAAGTTGCATACAATAAACAACACTATAAAAATGATGTGGAAGAGAAGGATGAAAATATAAGGTTGATTGAGCCCTATGCGGCAGGAGTGCTTTGTAGGCACTTTACAACTAATTCTCTAACAAGTAGTTGAGTAGTGTATTCTGAGACGGGGGAGTCATTGTTTATCAGAATATATTTTGGCGCTACCTTTTTGTATAATTTAGCAATATGTGTCAGAATGGCTAATGATCTAACTCTTTGACTCAGCCACTAAACATTTGAGATACTTTTCCACAGAAGTACTACCACACAAGCTCAAAGATGTATGAGCAAGGTTATTCATCCCGGCATTTTTATAACAGCCAAAAAACTGGAAACTATGCCAACAGTCTAACAGTGGAGGATTAGTCTAATTATGTACATATTGTGGATTAAAATTATTAAGGTATGTGAACCACTCCACAAGCAAGAAGGCAAAGCACTTCCCACACTGACCTTTCTTGTTACTCTGGCGTGGTCCCAGCCGGATATGGGGTGGGCGGTGGCGTGGTGGGCGGCTCCCGTGGGGGACGGGGGCGTGGCCCCGCAGCCTCGCCCCGCCGCTGGCGCGCTCTCGATTCAGGCCCCGCCCCCTCTCCTGGGCGGTGCAGTTTAAGCTAGGGGAGGGGCGGGGTCTCGCCGCCTTCTCCATCCTCGGGCCTGGAGTGGAGAGATGTTCCCTACTCAGGAAGAGGCCGACAGGACCGTGTTTGTGGGAAATTTAGAAGCCCGTGTGCGGGAAGAGATTCTTTACGAGCTGTTCCTTCAGGTACCGTGGGGGTAAGGTGCGGCGGAGGGGCGGGGAATGCCGAGCCGGAAGCGCAGCCGGAGGGGCGGGGCTCACCTGGACGCCCCTGAGCTCGGCTCCCTTCCTACCCCATCCCCAGCCTGGGTTTTTAACTTAGTTCCGCCCCGGCGCACCTGCCTTCAGGTGAGCACCTAGGCTGTGAAATGTTAGTGTGCGCACCATCCCTATCCCCATCCCCATCCCCATCCGCACTGCAGAGTCCGGGGGGTGCGCAGTGACAGAGCTCCTCCCAGATCCCAGCGCACAACCCCCACCCCCTTAGTAAGTGCCTCACGCAGGTTGTCTGGGCCTTGGTTGTCGTCTCAGGCAAAACAGAAACAGCGCTGTCACTGTCTCTCTTAAGGTAATAAACACCCTCATGCCTTATATCCAGCGAAATGAGAAGAAGAGATTTAAAAATGTTTCCCTGTACATTACATACTCCCCTAAGCCTTTTTATTTGGCAGGTAACTTTACTCCAGTATTGATAAAGAGATATGAGGTGATTTGGGCAGCCAAATAATGACTGTGACTAATTGATTTCCTGGCCAATTTGCTTTATATCAAACCAAGAATACCATCTGGAAACTTTTCAAGATCTGGTACCTCCAGAATTAAGCCTCCCTTCTCCTGTAAGCACTCACCTATTGTAATACACCTAAGTATCTCTTGCTAAAGAGATATCCTCATTTAGCCATCATCTAACAGTTTAATGATCCAGAATTCCACGGCAAACACTAAGGTGCTGAGCATACAAATTTGAGTCTTGTTCTTTCTAAAAGGAGAAATTTTAGTCAAGATTTAGGATAATTTACAAAGGAGATTCTTAATTCGCATAGTATAGCAAAGTTGTTTAGAGTTTGAGCTCTGCCAGCTATGTCACTGGATGAGTAAATGACTCTCACAGTGCCTCAGTTTCCTCAAATGTCCAATGGTGGTAATAGAATCTACATTTGTGTTGTAAAGATTCAATAAGCTAATCCAAGTGAAAGAGAACTGAGCCTGGCTTACTAAGCATTTGCAGCTACTGATAGTACTATTATTACTACTGGTAAGTCAAGAAACAGTGACCTCCCCAATCAGAATAAGGGCAAATTCCAAGGAAGACAATAGCAAAGCTAAATTACCAGAAGTGAGTACTAGAGGTAAAAGGGGTCCTTTTTGGAAAGGCCCTACCATTTATTGTCTCTAAACTTAAGCACCCCTCTGTTAATTATAGATACACATAATTTGATACAGAGAATTCCCTCCAAAAACACAGTTTACTTTTCTGGACATAGAACTTTTTATTATTTGAAAAATATTGTTGATTAGAGGCTTTTATGCTTAATTCTTCTAATTTTCCATCTTTTAAACTTTCCCTTTTTTAATTGTGCTAATAATACCTATCCTTTCCAATAGTTATTTTCCATCAGTATCATTTAAAACTTGTCACTCTAAAAAAATAAAAGAAAGGGGGAAGGAAGAAAGAAAGGACAAGAGAAAAAAAAGAAAGAAATTTATTGGTGTTTTTCTCCAGAAAGCTTCTTTCATGTTGAGCCTCCAAAAAAGAGATTGGAAAGGGGAGGATAGTTGGGGGAGAAAAGGTATGAAGGCCCTCACATTCATAAATTATTTCTAGTCAAGTACTGAATCTATATTAGTTGTATGGATCTATGAGATATGTATATATATAATCTCACTTTCATAATTTATACCTATACAAAATAGTCATATCTTTTAACAGATCAAGCAACCAAGCATATGTTTTTATTTTTGGCCAGGCCCTTGTATATTCTGGAAGGATTTACTAAAGTGAGGTATCTTTTATAGAGGTTTCAACCCAGCAAACCCTAGCAAATCTTGACTATTGCAAAACTCTTTATGTGTTTCATTCTAGTTTAAAATGACTAAAGATATGATTGTTGCTACAAGCCAGTCTTCTTTTTGGATTTTTATCTTTAAAAATTCTTTGGTATATATTTGAATTTGTAAAATTCAAGGCATTTAAACATTCTGTCCACTTGTGTTTTCATGCATTTAATGCCAGTAGTGGAAAAGTACTGATTAAAATGGTAATCAAATAGTAATTATTTATAATAATAAATATTTTACTACTGTGTATCTTTTTATTAGTTTCTTTCAAATTTCTGATTATCCTTTGAAGTGAGAAAATCAGGTTTAATATCTTTGTATTTTTAACTAAGAAATGCTAAAGCAGAGATTTTGAGAGGAAAGAAAATGAATTCAGTTTCAAATATGTTGAGTTTGAAGCACAGTCACATGGAGGTCTCTAGGAGACTCTCCATGAGAGAGGTATGAGTGGGAAAAATAGATTTGTTAATGAAGTGTTCCTTGAAGGCATGGAAGGGACAATGCCTAGTCCCTGCGAAAGCAAAGAATACAAAGAGAAAGACTAAATCTTAAATTCTCCTATTGTTGGATTTAGAGCCTTTCTAATTTTTCACTCTTAATAATCCACCTACTTAAGTGTTAAACATATTAAAACTTTTTTTGCTTTGGAATATTTGCTAAATGGAATTACTAGGTCAAAATGCATGAAGTGTTTAGTTTCTCTTGTAAAACACTTTAATCTTGACAGAAAAAATTAGGCTGCAATATATGTTACCAATTTTTTATAATTCAACCAACAGTGGGTTTGTATTTTTGAATTACACTCTGTTAGTATGTAAGGAGACAAAGTAGTATTTTAATCTTAGATTTCAATGCTTTCTAACTTGTTTCGTTAAGCCTAACATATCTTTCTTTTTAAGATTTGGAACTATTACCTAAAATTTCCTGTTCTTAACAGTCATGAATGTTTCTTTGATGAGCCAGAAAATACTAAGAAAGTGTGATGAAGTGTGATACTTATTGTTAGGAATATACGTTATTAGCAGAGCTACCTAAAGCTAGCAGGTTTTTTAGATCTAATGTTGAATATACTTGATTCATTTAAGTGTAGAAAAATCTTGAGATTTATGAGAAAATAATTTTTAAGTTTCTTATAGGCTGGGCCATTAACCAAAGTGACTATATGCAAAGACAGAGAAGGAAAGCCGAAGTCTTTTGGATTTGTCTGCTTTAAACACCCAGAATCAGTGTCTTATGCCATAGCTTTGCTGAATGGAATTCGTTTATATGGAAGACCAATTAATGTGCAGTATCGATTTGGTAGGTCCTGTCACTGATGAATCTTAAAAATGTGTTTTGGTGGTGGTGATGTTCACAGAGGTCTGAACACTTTGTTTTCTGTATAACATAAGACCCAAAAAGTGCCCCTGTGGCCTCTGTTAAACTTTCTCAGAACATACGTACATCCATATTGTTACATAATTAATATTGCCAATTACACTGCCAACCCATAGCATCTTTTCCATTTTAAAAGTTTAAATGTTCTATTTTAATATGAGCTAGCAAGTAGTTATGATAGTTACTATTGGCAGTTGTAAATGAAGCAAATCTAATTGAACTGGGGACACACAACTCTAGCTTTTATACTGCAAAGCTCTATTTGCTAATATTCTTGTCAATGCTAATTTATAGTATCAAATACCTGCTATTTGGAAGACAGGGTGAGCGCCTTAGTCCTTCTCGGGAAAGCATGCTGTACATAACAGCTCAGTAGCTAAACTCCTTTAAAAGTCACTGGCCAAAGGCAGCTGTAGAGTGACCCTTAATAGCTATGGAAGGAAGCTTCCTGACATGGATGGCCTCAAATGCCTTCTCCTTGCATGCTTGTCAAGAACTGATCACCTTTGATTAGAAGCCCAGAGAACATGGTACTACTCCTCTAGGCCTGTCATGTTTTGAGAGACTGATAGCAGCAGTGCTGATGCTTATGCAAAGTAATGTTCGCAGTACGTATAGTGCTTATGCTGTCTTCCTCCCCTAAATGGTTCAGACTTACTGATGTAGCCCTTGTTTCTTTGTTTTTATTCCTCTTGCTATACTAAAAACTAATAAGAATAAGAAAACAATGCCCTGTTGCAAAGGAAAAGGGCTTCTCTTTGCATTTCATTTTTTTAATGTCTTTGCAAAAATAGCCAGCTGCATGATGCTCTCAACTGCTGTCCAAGTTACCTCACCCAGGCTGGTAAAATGGGCCAGGACATATTATATTCAGACACATCCTTAGTCAGCTGCTCAGTTTCCTCTATAAGCTTAAATTTCCTTTTGTCAGTGCAGTTTAAAGAACTCACACATTTTTACACAGGAGACAAATACCACTGATTAGTTACCATTTTTAGTTTACAGGTGTATAGAATTCAACAGCATGATCTATCTTATATGGTCCCATGTCACCATGACTCTTAGGTACAGCCATTGCTTTGGACAAAGTGTCATTATAATTCATTTATAGTAATATAAACAATCTGTAAATATTACTTGGGAGATCAAAGACATATTCATGTGTCTTACATGAGTATGGAATTTTACTCACTGCTACATCCTTTTAGGTTTGCAGTTCTTTATGGTTTAATTTTAGAATTTCAAAAAATGTACCATGAAGTAATCTGTTATTCTATTTCTTTTAAAGGGAGTTCTCGTTCTACTGAACCAGCTGATCAAAGTTTTGAGAGTTGTGTTAAGATAAATTCACATAGCTACAGGTAATTAAAAATACTTTTTCACAAAGTTAAAGAAAACAAGTATGTTCTTATGCCAGGAAGTTTTTATATAAACTGAACTATTGTAAAACCTTTCTATTTAGACATAGGATAAAATTAAGAAATTCATTTTTTTCATAAACCATGAAAAGTGACAAGAAAATATTTTCATTTAAAGTTCAGTCTTAATATTTGCAGCAGTAGATAGTTTACCATGTGCTTTTCATAGCTTTTAAATCATATAAGCATCCAAGGTCTCATTATGATGGATCAGAGATACTATTACCCATATTTTATATTTGAATAAATAGAGATGCATAAGTTAACTAATTCCAGGATTACAAAGGTAAAAAAGTGATAGTTGCTAGACTTGAAATTACAACTTCTGACATTAAGCTATTCGGTTATTTGTTCTTGATGGAGTGGTAGCTGCCCAGTACACTATCAGGCAAGCTATCCCAGTGGACATGGAATAGAAAGGCTCCCAAATTAAAATCTCTTATTCTTCACGTTCTTACTTCCCAGTCACTTTTTAACCCTATTGATATATGGAAGCTGTTCTTGTAAGGGTTTTCAGGACCCTTCTGATCAACAATTCAGTGGCTTTAGTGCTTATCCAGTTTCCTCTTTCATAACAGCTGACACCTGTCTAATTACTACCTCAAAGAAATTCACTCTCCCACTGGCTTCTGTAATACTACTCTCTGCACTTACAAATGGGATCACCACCTATCCATTTAGTGAGATACCTTCATCTTTTCCTCTGCCTTGTATTCATTTTACTTTACCCACAGTACACTTCCTGTCCTAATGATTAGTAGTATTAGCATTAAAATTGTGGAATACTATGGAGGAAGTAAACTAATGAAGTCTAACTATAGAATCTAGCAAGTATTCATAACATTGGAATTTACCGAACATCTCTGTAGAAACACTTTTGTATTCATAGAAGAATATTGCACTTATAAATGAAAACATTAGGACACGGAATTTTCAAATTAGGGACTTCTGTTAATTAATGTGTGGAAGAAATCAGCAAATGTGAGTTCATGGTAACATGAGCAGTCCACTTAGGAAAGAACATAATTATTATAGTTAAACAGTGAAGAGACCATCAAAAATAAATTAAGGAAAATTCCTACTTTTTTCACGTTTTATATCTGTAGAAGATTGATCTGTCCTTGGTGATTTTAATGACTTGTTTTGTTCTCTTTATATAATCTAAGTGCTCTTTGTCTTTATGTAAATAAAATGTTAATATCTTCCTGTCAGAAAGCCAAATATGACTCTAAATATTGAAATTTCAATACATAGTAATTAATAAGACTTAAACTTACTACATGATCAATATAATAACTGATAGTTAATTTAAAAGTAATTTCTCTTACGGGTAAGATTCCTCAAGGGAGGAACAACCTAAGACAGGCACAGTCGCAAGGGGGCCATCAGGTGAGAAATCGGGGAACAACAGTGGTGACGCTTAGAACCTCACACCCCCCCACCTGTTTTGAGAGAAAGCTTCTGCATCCGTGGATGTTTTATTGCCCTTGTCTAGCTCGGATTAGCACATAGTCTACAGGCACACACATGATCATCTACAATTGCTCTCTTACAACACTAAACTATGTTTTCTACCTTTATCTTGCATCTACCTACCACTTCAGCATTTTATTAAAAATAAAAATAATAATAATAATAAAGGGAGAAATGTGGGATCCACATATAAATCAAGTATAAAAATCAAACGAATATTCATATTTGACCTGATTGTTTATAGTTCATAATGCGTGATCAAAACCGAAAGTTTCTGTGATGAATGCCCTTGTACTGTTCACCATGTAAGAATTTATTCACTATGTAAGAATTCGTTCACCATGTAAGAACTTGTTCGTTATGCTTCAGAAGATTGGAGACTGACGAGAATTAGGCTTGAGATGGATTAATGGTTGTGCATTGAGCATTGACCCCCCTATACAGAATTTTATTGTTGTTAACAACCATTTGATCAATAAATATGAGAGATGCCCTCTCAAAAAAAAAAAAAAGTAATTACTCTTAACCGAGCTTTCCTAGACAAGCCCTTTTTTTATTATGAAGATCCTTTTTTTTTTTTCAAGAAAATAAGATATTTGTGTGTAGGAATTTTAACGTTTTTTATTACTTCCTTTTTCACTTTCTCAAAGAAATGAAGAAGTTGTGGTCAGATCTTCCTTTCCCATGCAGTCTTTTCCTACTAATGCAGCCTTACCTCAAGAATATTTTTTCTTTCAGAAGATGGTAAGTTTGGTAAGCTTTTTGATTTGGTTCAATTTATAATACAATACAAACTATGAATAATATGAAAAATATTTGGAACTTATGATTCTCAAATTGAAGCCTGGGGTAAAGACAGAAGTGGCCTAGCACTGACCCCAGTAGTGGTGTGCTCTAACTTGGTCATCTTAAATCCCACACATGGTACCTTGGCAAATAGCCAGTGCATAAGCAGAAAAGGACTGAATGGTAGTGATCATGTGCTGTGGTCCAATTAAAATTGAAGTAGAGAGTTCTCATTTAAATGACTACTTTTAAAAATATTTTTTAGAATTGAATAATTTCATTAGGTGAAACACTTTAATGTAATCTAGGTGAAGTATTTTTATATAATGTAATCATCAATCACAAATATGCTTTTGGGTATGGACTTTTTTTTTAATAAATTTCTTTTTTTAACTAAAGGCAAAGATCCTCAATTGGTAAATTACATCATTTCCAAAGACTCCCAAAAATATGGTCTGACCTAGTAATTATAGTTATGGTCATTATTGTTAAAGGAGAATTTAAGATTTTTTTTTCCAACTCTTTGTTTTATACATAGTAAAACTGAGGTATAGGATGTTAATCAACAAGCCCAGAATCATACAGCTCATTTGTAACAGATGTGGGACTGTAATACAGCTCTTCTGATTCACAGGATATGATTTTTGCAAACATCCAACATAAATATGTGCTTCAGATTTTTTGAATAGCCTTTTTCACTTTGTAAACATAAGGAAAACTGATAATTCAAGTTTTAAAAAAAATTTCTTGCAGTGATATATTAGTAAATAGTTCTCATCTGAAACTGTCAATATCTTCTTCCCAGAATTTTTTTTATCTTTGATAAAGATCACATACACACAAACACACAAGTTCATGTTATCTTTATTAATCTTTACTCTACTTTGAATAGTTAGAAATTTGAGTTAAAAACAAGAAAGCATCTCTATCTTAACAGTTGATAACCATGCTCTGCAATATGGTGGCCATTAGTCACTTGTGGGACTAAGGAGCTGAGTTTTTTGTTTTATTTCATTTTAATTAAAATTTAAAAACAAATATTTGGTCCATTTAATGAAAAACTTTAAGAATATTTGAAAGAATATGAGTATGTGAGTCTGCTTTTACAACTACAAATTTTATATAGTCTATATTTAGATCAAGTATTTTCATTGGAAATGTGGCATCCAAATTGAGATGTAAGTATAAAACACTCACCAGATTTCAAAGACTTACTATGAAAAAAGGAAAGTAAAATACATCAGTGATAATTCTTATATTGGTTACATGTTGAAGTATCAATTTTTTAAATATTTTTGAGTAAAATACATTAATTGCACCTATTTTTTTATTTTTGTATTGTGGCCACTAAAAGATTTAAAACTATATGTGTCGTTTGTATTGTATTTCTATAGGACAGCACTAATCTCTACTGTAGTAAGCTATGCACTACTTGAATATGTTAACCATTTAAGGAAGCTACCATATCCCTACTCTGAAAAGTCACTGTCCTTATATACTAACACATGGTTTTATTCGTTGGTAGTTATTTGTAGTATGAATGTACTGTGAAATTTTTGGATTTGTTTTGGTAGGTGAATGTCTTTTTTTCCACAGCAATGGCATGCATATAACCCAGCCCTTCAGCTTCCTTACTATGAGATGACCGCACTCCTTCCTAATAGCACATCTGTGTCTTCCTCACTAAATCATGTTCCAGATCTGGAGGCCGGACCCAGCTCTTATGAATGGACTCACCAACAACCAAATGACCCTGACCTTTATCAGATGAATAAACAAAAGAGGAAAAAACAAACCAGTGATAGTGATAGTAGCACAGAAAACAACAGAGGAAGTGAATACAGCCAAAAGTTTCGAAAGTGTAAGAAGAAGAAAAGGTATTAGTACTACATTCAAATGAAATTTGTCTGTACTGGTCTTAATTTTCTTAAAAGAAAAAAGAATCTGTTTTCCAGTAAATGACAAATTTCATGACTTTCTTGTCTTTTTTGAAATATATAACAATATGACATTAGATTTGCTATTCAGTTTTTGTCTTGAATGACAAAAACTTAAAATTAATATAATGTACTAGGTTTCATATTTGTAATGGTATTGTTGACACATTGTCGGTAAGAAATACACTTTGAGTTGTTATATTTTACTACTGATGATGAAATGCACTAAACTGTTAAACAAAAGACACCCACTGAGCACTTACGGATAAGGTACCCTGTTCTGCTGGATTGTTGGTGATACTGAGTGGGGGGACTTTCTGAATGAAACTGGTATAAATATTTAGGAGTTTCACGTTCCTAACAAAATGGAATAAGCAGGCTTTAGTTTCTTTTGTTAGTAACATTTTATTTTTTTGTCTAAATATGTTGTTTCTGAGCCTTACTGTCCTACAGTTTTATCTCATAAAATGAGGATATGTGATAGTGTTACCAAAGGAAAGATGATTATCATGGGACTAGTTTTTGGATGTTCCCTTTTTATATGAATGTATATGAATAGGAATACCTGCCTCTTTACTTCTCACTTATTAGTTATATTTCATGAAAATTAGTTAGCTATGACAGTATTTATTTTTTGCCAGCTGGGTTTGAGAGGGTGTATTTGACGTATTTAAATCTTGATAACATAAGAGAATAACATTTCATTAATATATGATATTTAATATTGTCAAATCAAGTTTCCTATTTCTGGTTAATTTATTTTTAGAAAATAGACTACATGTAAAATTAATAGTTTATTTGGGCTTATTTTTTCAGTAGCTCATTGTAAACTCACATAATGAAAATATTTACTAAAACTAATTGAAAGAATCATGCAACTTCATTGGGAGTTACCAATTTAACAAGAAAAGCCATGCTTGGATATTTCTTTTACATATTGCATAGCACTTATAAATATTTATTATTTTAGATAATAAAGACTTTTTAGCAAAATGAGTACATTTAACTTTCGCTTACAAATATACAAAACAGTAGAGTTTTAAATATAAATATTAGTCTATTTTTATCTGATCAACATGAAAACCTGAATTCTGCTTGATGTAGTTCGACCTGTATACTTTCATGTACTTGAATATTTAAAGAAGGTGACTCTTTATTCCGTTTAAATTTGCATTTTTGTAATTTTAGATCATGCAAAGAGAAATATGTTTCTAAATAAATAGAAAATGATATATATTTAAACACATTAACTTCACCTCAACCTTTTCAGTTCTTACTACATTACAGTTTATCTAAGCCCTAAAGTATTATGATGGGTGTTACAAGAAACGTATACATAAGAATTGTCTTAGCAAGTAAGAGTGGCATATTTGAAGAAAATCATATTGAAGTACAGTTATATGAACTACAAGGAATTCTTGTAACTTCTTTCATTGTAGCCAGGAATTACCTCAATATCAACTTTAGAAAGTAACTTAATTTGAACCAACTAGAAGGCAAATTCACGTATATACTCTGGTGTCTTTTATTGTTAGAAAATATAGAACTTCCCTTAAAATGTTATATCATATACAGTCCTATATAATTTTAAATTATCAATTTTCTCAATGTATATCTTTGAGTTAAAATTATTTCTTTGCCTTAAAGGGTTTTTTATTTTTCCAGTTTATTTCTCCCTTCTCAAAATCTATTTTTAAGTATGTATGTACAACAAGAAGCTTGGAATTTGAGAACAAAATCAATCATCTTTTTTTCTCATTTTCATTAATTTACTTTTAATGAATTTCTGTAATGCATCAGACAATAGAAAAACAATTGAAAAAAATTGCTTAGAATTAAAATGGTGAAAAAGATGAGTGCAAAGCATGCCCTTGAAATCTTTGCTAAAATGATGCACCTTTAGCTCTGGTATCAAATATGTAACTGTTGAGACAAGTATTTCACCTTTGAAATCTTAGCATTAAATGCAATTGTTATAAGATATGCAGTAACTAATTTATTGTAACATGATTAATATAAAATTATGATGCAGTAATGTTTTTGGTTACCTTCTTACAGAAATAAAAGAAAAAGATTTAAGAGTTATTACACTTTCTGTAGCACTATCCAGATGCAAGGACAGTGTACACTGACATGTAGTCAACCTCTTTCTTTGTATGGCTAAATACTAATGAACCATGGGTGATCCAAAAGTGAGATTTCTCTCTCTTGGTAACACTTTGAAAACTGTATCCCCAGACTTTTGTCTAGTGCCTACTGAGCATGCCCACCTGGGTGTCTCTTTAGCAATGAAAATTACATTTTGAATTTTACCCTAATTTTTTTAGCCCCAAATATTTTCTTCTTTGACCAATTTGGGCCAGTATTTTACTATGGACCAGTTGCTGGAGGGTTGCAATAATCATTGACCTCACTTCGGTGACTTAATAGAGAACCATTTCAGTCCCTCTTGTCCATTCACATACTTCAACTATAAGGAAACAATCTTTGTCAGGCACTTAAATAAATGAAAATGGGCCCATTTATTAGAGCCTGATCAGGAAATGAAAAGATAGAAACATCACCAGTTGCTCACCCCATACCCATTTAAATATGTTTAAGGCCTGGGCATATTTTCCAGGGTGGATGTGGCTCCCAGCAGATGTTGTTTAAATAGCCTCACCTGGATGATGGCTTGGCTATTTGGTTCCGGGTCCTCCCCATCCCTAGGAAGAAAGGTAGGAGGACTGGTCCCACACTCCCCAGCTCCTGAGGAAGGAAGGCTGGACGAGTGGTTCCCCATCCTCCCTGCCCCTAGGAAGGCTGGAGAAGTAAGGTTGGCTCTTGGAGTATCACCCTACAGAACTAATGAAGTACTATCTGAACTGCTCAGGTCTGTAGTCTAAAGTCTTCCTATTCCACTTTTATTTCCTCTTGTGTATATCCTAGTAAGGCTATTTACATCAGAATTAAAAGTCTATCTTTCATTAATTTATTTCCTATTAAGAAAGGTAAATTAATAGCCTGGGTTTGATTTTGGTAAAAGTGAACACTAACAGAAATCTCTATGGAAACTCTATTTGACTGCAGAAAGTTCAAAAAACATCTTTTTAGGGATGATGCCTGCTTCTGTACCTCAGCCTGAGGAAGTTCAGTGAGCACAGCCTCTCCAGTTTGCACTAAGTAATATTTACTGAAGCGGTTAGTGATGATGTTATTTGGCCTTATCAGAATGAGTTCTGCAAAGTCACATGATGCCCTAATTATGGACTAATTAAGTCTCTTTATTCCCAGTCAGGGCCAACCTGCAAAAATTATTTCATATATAAGCAAACACTGCCTTACCAAGTGAGAACAAATGATGTATTATCTGGTTCCTAGTAACATTTCCTTTTGAGCTTCCAATACCATCTTATTATATAATCAATAGGTCACAAAAGGAAGAGACACACCTGCTATTTGTACTGGACTTAGAGAACATAACCAGTATGTAAGAATTACAAGCTCATATATTTCCTGCATGATAAGCTTGGAGAGGATTGAGACCAACAACTGAAAGATAATTTAATATCATGTACAAGGAACCTGAACCTGACAATAATGGGTTCATCTACTTGACTTTGCTTGGGGAGTTTAATAAATGAAAATATTCCTTAAATGAATATTGTTGATCAGTCCAACATAGTTACTGTCTGAATTCTAATGATTAATGTCTTTGTTTTTATTTCTATATGAGAAAAGCAGTAATATCCTGGATAGTTACCTACCCCAAGCTGACATCTTCATTGATTTTATCCCACCTCCAAGTTAATCACAAGCAAAACATTGCAGTCTCTTGCATGCCAGTTGAAACCCTGGGAGTTATTCTAGACAATTCCCTTAATTCGTTTCTAAGTGGTCATTAGCTCTTCACTTTAACCTTGTTCAGGTTCTCTTCATTCCCTCTTGAAGCATCGTTAAGCAAATCATCATTAAGCAATCAATAATGAATGCCTATCATCCTAAACACAGATTTGGGTGCTGAGAGTAAAGTACTGAAAAAGTATGTTCCCAACGTTCAAGGAGCTAATTGTCTGCTGACACAGATGGACAGAAAGGTGATTTCAGGACTATGTTATAATAGATGTAAACAGATTGTGCAATGGAAATCACAAGGGTGTCCATTCCTCAAGAAAATGAATCCTGGGAGAAAGAGAGGCAATCACAGAAAAGTGGAGATCTAGGAGTCTATACTGACTCTCAACTGTTACATTGTCAGCCCTGCTCTTGACCCCTCCTTGGAAGGGTGGCTCCAAGTTTTAACTCTGTACAAGATAATGGCTTGTCTCTTGTCAGTATCACCCCATCCTCTTGAGGATACAGGACTTTGGGTTATAGCACTAAATAAAAAAGATAAAAATTCCTGTACTCATGGAAAGTATTAGTGGAAAGAATAAATTAGATAAATAAAATATAGAGTTAGATGTTAATTGATAACTACTGGGGAAAAAACACAAAGAAATGTTTAGGGATTAAAACTCAAAGTAAGAGAGAAAGTAAGCCATGTGGTTATCTATGGGAAGAGCACTCCAGACAGAGATAACAGCAGATGCAAAGTCCCCATGGAGGAAGCATGCCTGAAAGAAAGGGAAAGAAACCAGTGTGGTAGAGGAGATTGATCAAAGGAGAGATGAGATCAGAAGATAATGAGACCTTATAGACTATTTTAAGGACTTTGTCATATACTCTCAGGTTAATGTCTTCTGAATGGGGAGGTAGGGAATGAGAATGTCAGTAGATTTGATTTCTTCTTGAATCAAATTTCCCTTCTTTCTTTACTGGCAAGATTGGAGTATTGCAGTATAAGTAGGTGAAATAAGGACACTTTGTACAAGGAAGCGTGTTATAGGTTGAATTCCTTGTTCTACATCTCAGAGTTTTGGGCTACACATGGGAAAGGTTTGCTTTTTTTACAGATAATGTGGGCACTACGTTTAAGTAATAGTGCAACGTCATTTATAGGCTTAAGCCCTAAAGCTAATAGGGATATCTTTTAAGTTTGGATCTTCTTCAGAGGATTTTGAATTGAAAAGAATTCCTTTAGTGATGGTCTGAAAGTTAAGATTTTGTCTGAGGGTTAGGGGACTAAAGATAACCTTTTGTTGCATTGTATGTTAGCACTGAATTTAAATAACAAATCTCTACCTAGAAGATTTGCTGATAAGGAGTCAGAGAACCAAAAAAAACCTGGTGAATGCTAAGCGGCCCTGAGGATGCCAGAGTGGCTTGGGATATGGGCAGTAACATAAGTTGCCCTGAGACCTCAACAGTTTGAACAAAATTAGAAGTGATAGGTAAATACAAATCCTGAGCCTGTGGTAGAGAAAGTCACACAACTATCAATTTAAAAATCCAGTTTCTGATTATGTATTTTAATTGTGGCTTCTGAAGTGCAACTGAAGATTGACTCCACCAATTGGTAGGGTTTATGAGAAATTGACCCATAAACGGGGAAAAACAGACCTGAGAATGTTGAGGTCTCACGTAATTACTACTTAGGTTGCCTTTTCTTTTAAGCATAGGACACTCCTTTCTCCAATGTCCTGACTTCTTATAGTAACTGTAAGTGTCCTTGGTGAACAGGCAGGGATCTGAGGTTGTAAAAAGAATAGGTGGGTTGGGGCTTGCTTTTAAGGTTGTGGGGTTTTTTTTGTAAAAATTTCAGTTGTAAGGAAAGGACTATTGTTTCTACTTCTTTTTCTTGCTTTCTTGCAAGCTGTTTTCAGATAATTGAATGACAGCCTCAATGATAACACTAACAGGTTGGCCTGCCCATCAAACTACATTATTTTAACTTTGCTTCTTTACCTCAGAAAGATTTCCAGTTAAGGCAGAAATCAAAAAATTGTTTTTCTGAGAACTATTCTGAGACTCTGGATTTAGGAAAGTGTGTCTTTAGAATGTTTGTTTACTGCATTCCGCAAAGGCTTTAGAACAATTCTTCTTCCTTCCAAACACATAGTTCTACTTTAGCCCAGTTAACTTTTAGAGTAAAGTCTTCTCTAATGGCTTCTCCAGTCAGGTCCTGAATATCAGCCTCCAGTTGGGCCCTTTCTTGATCATTTGTAGGAGGGCCTGGAAGAGGGTCTGGCTACCTTGTTATATAATTACAATATAATCATAGGTGGGAAGGACATCCCTTGACAGCCATTTCAGGTCCCTGTTTCTTAGATTATGGATGGCCACCCAACTTTCCAGTTATTTTTTGCAAATAATTTGTACATTATTAAATTTGGTAGGATCTTTAGAATGTGAGGGTAAAAGGATTTGCAATTTAAAAGGTCTTCTGTTGTCCAGGGCACGTGAGTTCCTTCTAGTGGGAGGCAGGGTACATGCATAATAGGCATTTAATGGGAAGGTATAAGGCTTGTTGGGCCTGATTATTTGGGACCTAATTATAGAGCCATACAAAGTAGGTGGAATTAAAAGGGACAGTTAAGACAAGCTCTGGTATGTGTATCTGGGGCTTCAGCTAAAGCTATTTCTTGGTTGACAGTAATCACTTGTGACTTGACTGCCCCATGTTTTGAGGTCAAGTTAGAGAACCTTTTGCAATTATTATAAGGAAAGGGAGATTAAAGAAGGCAGTTAGATGGTCAAAAATTTTTTCTGTGGAAGCCAAGTAATTATAGGCCTTAAAAGAATTGTTTGAAGAAGAGGAGCTGGATATGGTTGAGGGAGATGGATTTGGGGTGGGGGTCCAGAGATCCAGATCCTAGATCTCTAAATCTGGGAGGTCAGGAATAAGGAGTTGGGAGTAAAGGGGAATATAAGAGCAACTCAGAGAATGTATGGTGGACATTAGTTTTTGTCAAGTCTGACTTCTGCTCTGTAATTTTGTTAAGGAATCCTTTTAGGCCAGCCATGCTACTTTTTGTGCCTTTCTTTCAACGTGGTCCTCCCAGAGATACCAAGACAGCATTTATTTCATATGGGAGCTCTCTATAAACCACCTTAAATATAAAATCTTTCCTAAATAAAAGGACCCATTATCTGACCTTTGGCAATTAGGATCTGCATAAATATACCTGTTCCAAATGTGACAATGTTAAGTCTTTAATGGGAAGACCTGGAGGTAACCTTCCCAGCTTAGAATACATTTTAACTAGAGGTGTCCCTGAAAAGGGCACAGAAGATGCAGCCCACAGAATTCCAAAGTTACTCCCAAAGAAAGCTGGTTTATATACCAGCTGAACAAAAGGTGGGAGCAGAGATAAATTCACTCAACTCTTCAAAGAACTAGATTTTCAGGCAATAACAGAAAAGACCATTAATCATACTTTTTTGTTTACTACTGGAGATGTTCATTACTTGATTTGGGGAGTAAGAATGAAAGAATGAAGGAGACTGAAGCTGTAAGAGGTTAATAGTCACAGTAACTACTATTTATTCAGACTACTGCATGCCTGACATTATTCCTGAGAAAAACACCCTAGAAATGAGGAAGCTGAAGTTCAGTTGCCCAAAAACATGTATCTTATTTCAGCAG